TGGGATTTTGTTTCCTGGCAGGATGGAGCTGGCCGGGCAGAGACCAGGCTCATCCAGGCCTGGAATGTGGCCGGGAGATGGATCCGGGGACATTTTGTGGGGTTTTGATGCCGAAGCCGTTAGCGGCGCCTCCTCACCGTGTAGTTCTCGCGCGTTGCAAAGTCGTAGTAGTAGAGCCTGCCCTCGCCCCCGACGTAGACGGAGGAGGTGTTTTCCTGGTGGAAGAACACCGGGAACCTCTCCCTGCACGGGAACGCATATTCCTTGGCACCTGGGAAGGGCACACATCTCAGGGAGCTGCTCCGGGGGCACCCGCGGATCCCCTCCCTTCCCGTGCGGGGCTGGGGCCTCGGGGAGGGTGGGAAAGGGGACAGGCGGCCCCCGGTGTCCCCACGGGGACAGGACAGCGGGAATCGCTGCGGGAATTGATGTGGGAATTGATGTGGGAATCACTGCGGGAATCGCAGTGGGAATTGCTGCAGGAATCACTGCAGGAATTGCTGCAGGAATCACTGCGGGAATCGCTGCCGGAATTGATGTGGGAATTGATGTGGGAATTGATGTGGGAATTGATGTGGGAATCGCAGTGGGAATCGCTGCGGGAATTGATGTGGGAATTGATGTGGGAATCACTGCGGGAATCGCAGTGGGAATTGCTGCAGGAATTGCTGTGGGAATCGCTGCAGGAATTGCTGTGGGAATCGCAGTGGGAATCGCTGCGGGAATTGCTACAGGAATTGATGTGGGAATCGCTGTGGGAATTGCTGCAGGAATGGCTGCGGGAATTGCTGTGGGAATCACTGCAGGAATCGCTGCAGGAATCGCTGCAGGAATCGCTGCGGGAATTGCTGCAGGAATTGCTGCAGGAATCGCTGCAGGAATTGCTGCAGGAATCGCTGCAGGAATCGCTGCAGGAATAACTGTGGGAATTGATTGGGGAATCGCTGCAGGAATCGCTGCAGGAATTGCTGAGGGAATTGCTGTGGGAATCGCTGCAGGAATTGCTGCAGGAATCGCTGCAGGAATCGCTGCGGGAATAACTGTGGGAATTGATTGGGGAATCGCTGCAGGAATTGCTGAGGGAATTGATGTGGGAATCACTGCAGGAATCGCTGCAGGAATCGCTGCAGGAATCGCTGCAGGAATCCCTGCAGGAATCGCTGCAGGAATCACTGCAGGGATCAACTGCATGAGGGGGGGCTGGGAGTGCCCCAGCCCTGGCTCTGGGTGCTGCCTCCCAGATTCCCAGTGCCTCCTGCATCCCGGCTGAGGGATCGGCGACCCTCTGCCACCCTGGCAACCAATCCAGGCAGTGCCAGGGAGATTCGGATCCGTCCCAGAGCCAGGAGGAGGGACAGGGTGTGGATCTCCAGGAGGATGGGCAAGGTGTGGATCCCAGGAGGATGGACAGGGTGTGGATCTCCAGGAGGATGGATGGACAGAGTGTGGATCTCCAGGAGGATGGACAGGGTGTGGATCTCCAGGAGGATGGACAGTGTGTGGATCCCAGGAGGGATGGACAGGGAGTGGATCTCCAGGGCAGGAGGGATGGACAGGGTGTGGATCTCCAGGAGGATGGGCAAGGTGTGGATCTCCAGGAGGATGGATGGACAAGGTGTGGATCTCCAGGAGGATGGACAGGGTTTGGATCTCCAGGAGAATGGACTCGGTTTGGATCTCCAGGAGGATGGATGGACAAGGTGCGGATCTCCAGGAGGATGGACAGGGTTTGGATCTCCAGGAGGATGGACAGTTTGGCTCCCAGGGCAGGAGGGATGCACAGGGTGTGGAGCCCAGTTCTGCCAGCAGAGAGGCTCACCCAAAACCACCACCCCCAGGCTCCGGTGTCCCAGACAGGAACAAAAAGTGGCAGCCAGCCCTCAGACATCCCAGCTGGCAGCAGATCTGCTCTGCCCTTCTTCTTTCACACCCCAGCTTCTCCAGCCCCCCTCTCCTACAAACCCTCTCCGTTCCCGCTGCGTGGCCAGCTGGGCCGGGCGAGGCTGGCCCTGCCGCCCCGCTGGCACCCCAAAATGCCGGGGTGTGCACGGGGATCGCTCCGGGGACCAAGGCTGCCCTCTGCCCGGCACTCCGAGCTCGCCAGTCCCGCTTTTCCCTTTCCCAAAGGCAGCGGCCTCGGCCCTGGGCAGCGCTCCCAGTGCCGCTGGAGCTGGCAGCTGGCACCACCGGGCAATTAATCAGCGGCGCGTGGCTCTTAATTGCCAGGGCTGGCACTTGGCACTGCGCAGCCCGGGGCTCCGTCTGCCCCTCCCAGCAAGAGGCGCCCCGGAGGTCACCAGGGCGCTGAATTCCCGCTGGGTTTGTGGGGTTGTTCCCATCTCCTGCGGGTTCCTCATCCCTTAAAACAAGCAGAGTTTTCCCAGAAGCTGCCAGAACGGCCCAGGCCGGGTTTGGGGACACAGTGAGGGGACAGCTCCCTGTGCCCTTCCCCTGCCCGCCCCTGTGCCCTGCCCAGCCTTCCCTGTGCCCAAAGGCTCCGAGAAACCGCTGAGCCCGAGCTGGAGAAGCTGGCACAGGATCTTCCAGGCTGATTCTGCAGCCAGGCTCATCCCAGCATGCCCAAGGAGAGGCAGAACCCCCTTCACACCCTCTCCCTTCCCAAAAACCCCGCTGAAGTGCCGTGGCCCCATCACCAACACGCCTCGAGCCGGCCCACCCAGACCTCACCAAACTTGACTGGGTTTGGAGCCCCAGCCCCTAAATCTCTGCTAAGCCAGGCAAATCTCCCAAATGTTGAGTCTGAGCTCCAAACCCAGCTCCTCCTCCTCTCCCACAGGTCTCTCCTGCTCCTTTGGGGCTCCTTTGGGCGCTCCGCCTGAGTTCCCCAAGCCAAGAGATGAAAACAAAGCAGCTCTAAACAATCATTTGGCGAGCGCCGAGGTTGTTGTTTATCCTGCAGCTCCCCGGGGACCGCCGTGAATCAGAGCCGAGGGAGGAATCCGCTCTGCCAGCCTGCAGCGAGCCCGGGCTGGGCTGGGCACTGCCAACCCAGCCTCCCAACGCTTCCAGGAGCGGCTGCTGGGCTCCCTGCGCCTCTCAGAGCCGCTGCTCAGCCCTGCGGAGCTGCTCCTGCTCTGCCTGGGCTCAGGGAAGGGGTTTGGATGCTGCTGGGATGGGGGAGCAACCCTGCACCCCAAACTGCGGGGCTGGGGTTTGAACGGCGTCGGGAGATGAGGGTGAGGAGGCAGAGGGCGTCTCAGCACCATGAAATCGTGGAATTGTTGGGTGTCGGAACTCAAAATGTCCCTCAGACATTTTTGGAGGTTCCAGACCCAGGTCAGAAGCATTTGAGACCCTGGCAGGCAGCTGGAAACAGCTGGGATTTTGGGTTTGAGCCATGGAACGAGTTACCAACCTTGCAGGAAGAACAAGAAGTCACAAAAGTTTAGATATTAGAGTAGAAGTAGTCACAAAGTAGAGGGAAGAATTTCTGAGTGCTGTACAGGGGGGTTTTGGTTTTGTACATGTGGGTCAGAGGTTTAAGATGGATTTGGGATCTGGGCCTGCCCTGTCCTCCCTCTTTCTTCTCCCTCACCTCCATGTTCTTGGTGATGTTGGCACTCACAGGTTGGTTTGGAGTAGAAAAGCACCATTTAATATAGGTAATAGGCATTGGGAAAAACTGTAACCATGTAACACGTAATGTACCATATAAAAGAAAAGCACCAAGAAGAAGAAGAAGAAGAAGAAGAAGAAGAAGAAGAAGAAGAAGAAGAAGAAGAAGAAGAAGAAGAAGGAGAAGGAGTCAGAGAGGATGTCAGGGTGTGTGTGCCTCTGCCTGAGCTCTGAGCAAACCACAGCAGCTCAAGGAGAAAATCTTTTAGATAACTTGCAATAAACTGCCTTGAGACCAAACAACAGAGACTGCTGAGTTTTCTTTGGAAGCTCGGGTTGGAGGAGAGACTTTTCCACCACACAGAGCCACCCCTGACCTAGGGTGGTCTCCGGTGGTTGGGAATGGAAGAGACCCCAAAGCTCATCCTGTTCCACAAGGGCAGGGCCACCTCCCGCTGTGCCAGGGAGCTCCAAGCCCCGTCCGGCCCGGCCTGGGGCACTGCCAGGGCCGTGTCCCATTGTGTCCCCAAAGAATGGGACGTCTCTGCTGGCAAACCCAAAGCTGCTCGTGACGCTGGGAATGAAGGCCCGTGCCCTCGGAAGGCTTGGCCCTGCTGTCACCCCCGCTCCCCGATCCGTCCCCGGAGCTGCAGGGGACACAGGGCTCATTCCCGGAGCCTGGCTGACCTCTCCGAGCCCTGCGCCCGGCGTTCGCCGCCAACCCCGCGGCTGGGGAGGCATCAATGGCACCACTGTCCCCAGGAATGCCACCACTGTCCCTGGGAATGCCACCACTGTCCCCGGGAATGGCCCTGCTCCGGGGCCCGAGCGGCACAAAGGGCGGCTTTGTGCTCGGCACAGCTCCGCGCCGCAGGGGAGGGAGCGGGGACACCGGCTCGGGGACACCGGCTCGGGGACATCGGGTCGGGGACAGGGACACCTCGGAAGGACACTGGGGGCAGGGACATCAAATCAGCGACACGGGCACCTCGGAAGGACAGCTGGAGGCAGGGGAGGGAGTGGGGACATCAAATCAGGGACAGAGGCACCTGGGACATCCCGGAGGATGCCTGAGTTAAAGGAGAGGGAGCAGGGACATCAAATCAGGGACAGAGGCACTCGGGACATTCCAGAATGGCTCCTGGTGGGGAAGGGAAGGGAGCAGGAACATCAAATCAGGGACAGAGACACCAGAGACATCCCAGAGGATGCCTGGGGGGTGAGAAAGGGAGCAAGAATATCAAATCAGGGACACGGGCACCTCAGAAGGACAGCTGGGGGCAGGGGAGGGAGCGGGGACATCAAATCAGGGACAGAGACGCCAGAGATATCCCGGAATGGCTCCTGGTGGGGAAGGAAAGGGAGCAGGGACATCAGATCAGGGACAGAGACACCAGAGACATCCCAGAGGATGCCTGGGCAGGGAGGAAAAGGAGCAGGGACATCAAATCAGGGAGAGTGGCATCTCAGAGGATACCTGGGGGGAAGGGAAGGGAGCAGGGACATCAAATCAAGGATAGAGGCACCAGAGACATCCCAGATGATGCCCGGGGAGGAGGAAAGGAGCAGGGACATCAAATCAGGGACACAGACACCCGGGGCATCCTGGAATGGCTCCAGGTGGGGCAGGGAAGGGAGCGGGGACATCAGATCAGGGACACGGGCACCTCGGAAGGACGGCTGGGGGCAGGGACA